GTCGGCGCTCTTGATTCATCTCCGCCTGCTCATTGCACTGGATCGTCTTTGCCTCCGACGCTACGAGTCTGCTCCGATATCTTGTCAAGCTATCATATAGGCATGTAGCAAGGTAGGTAGAACAGGCTACACACGGCTTTGAAATACGAGCATCATTGTAATGTTGATCGGACTAAAGCCTCAGCCTCAAAGCCTGTTACCTATTTTGAGAACTTGGGAATTCAAAATGCAAAGGTGTCGAGTTAGCCCGCGAGGACAACATCCGTGAAAAGCCCGGCACAGCGCCTAGGAAACCAGTCTCGTTGGAAAGGCTCGCTCGGGTCTTTCCAAACGGCATGATAAACCTTCTTCGCACCCTGGTCACGGCTAGTGCATGGCAAAAGCAAAAGCTGGAAGAAGCTGGGCTTCTTGTAGTGCGATCCTTCCGACCGGAGTCGAGCCGGTGACCTTTCGATTGGAAATGATACCAGTTACAGTCGAACGTGATGAACCAACTACACTACGGAAGGATTTGATGGACACGCCCAATTTCTGGAGCGTTCATAGAGCAGAATTTCGCGCGTGCGTAGCCCTGCCAAGTGGAGAGGAGGTGGACTCGATGGGCTGCCCCTCCATGCTGCCCCTCACTTTTGGAGGTTCTGGACTTGACCCCTGGGCCGCATTTCACGATCGCGACTGTTGGATCCCTACTTTCAGCCACGAAGAGGCTCCGAACGGGAGATAGTATGCTTGCAACCTGCATGGTGTCGATTTTCAGCCACCGGAGGCTACGACTTGCGAGCCAAAGCGATGCAGCTAAAACTGAGGTTGTGCCCGCCTCCATCCGTATTCAACTGGATGATCCTCTTGATGCCATTGTCCAGTGCTCGTGGACTGAGGACATCCTCGTCATCAGCGAGACTGCCTCTGTCCAGAGGGCCCTTTCTCGATCCTTCTAGCTCCCAGAGCTTCCCACCCGTCTTGAAAAAAGCTAACAAAATGGCCTCCCTCGACCTCGCCCGTTAAAATCAACCCTGCTGTCGCCGGCCTGCTCGACCGACTTGTGAGCACGCTCGAACGGGTCGCTATTATACAGCATATCGGCACGTCTAGCCATGTTGAGCGGTATGGCACGGCTCTGATGTCCGCGAGATCCGATCCAGGTTTGATAAAGTCCATAGCTGGACCGTTGATGAGGCTGTGCAGCAGGCCAATCGAGCCGCACGCATGACCGATGGTTTGCTTGAACCAGATAACCGGCTCGTCGGGGCCGGAGCCGGTGTAGTCTTCCTTGTCCGCGTCTTCGGCCTGGCGACTCTGATCCCAGGCTGGCGTGAGTGGGATGATGACCAGCAGAGCCAGCGCAGGCCGGGGAATATGAGCGAGGAGCTCAGGATCGTCGAGAGAGTAGACGTCGTAGAATTCGAGATCGGACGACAGACCCAATGTTGCTGCCAGCTGGTTCATCACATCAGGGTTGTTCTCTGTCATCTCACAGTTAGTTGCCGGTGGGAAAAGAGGGGTTTGTTTCCCTACCAAGCATGACCCATCTTTTCTTTTCCATTGCAGACATCGAGCAGAGGAGATGTTTTGAAAAGATGCCAGGTCTCCTGTGAGTAAAGGGAAAGATACTGTCGATCTGGAAGATGAGGTACAAAAAGGGCGTGATCGAGAAAGGGGCGAGGAGGAAACAATTGACGTTCACAACCGCAGGTAAGCGACGGGCGACAACAGACTGATAGCCGATGGTCTACCAACTGGCGACGTGCGCTTGGGCAGGTGTATTTTCGTGTGCTGATGCCGTACAATGACTGAAGCGACGGGTGTGATGAAGAAAGCGTATGGGCTGATTGCGGTTCGGCCGCGGTGCCTGGTATTGGTCAAGATGCTGTTCACAACTGCTTGTCGTGTAATCGAAGTATGTGAACCGTTCAAGGCGGTACTCCATGGAGCTGGTAGCGACGTCCGCACAAGATTTGAGAGGAGAAGCCCAAGATACTAAAGGGCGACATTGACTCAGGTTCGTTGCCTAGGAATCGCTTACGCGAGGAGCTCCGCCTCTCATCTGACCGATGCTCTTGGAAAGTGCGGGGGCCAATCGCAAGTACTAGGCAGTGACCACCACGCGTATGCGGGGATGGTGTTGGATCTCCAACTACTTCCAACGTCAGTTGTAACTCATAAGCTGATTAATGTTCATGATCTTACTCTCGAGACAGGGCATCCGGACATCTTCTGTGAATCGTACTTTCAGATGCATTTCAGGATGTTACCTCGTCTCTCATGGGTGTTAAAGTCGGCTCAACAAGATGCATGACAGACAACATCGTCTAGCTTTGTAAATCATGCGATCATGGGACAGAAATGTACCGTATTCGTTGTAAACTTCCACCGTCCGTCTCTGTGTCTTTATACGCATGCGAGGACGACACTTTTGGGTTTGACGTCGGGGAAGTTGGCCCCGACAGGATGTTCTTGACGACACTCTAGTAAGTAGTGTTCCCAACCTGCACCACCTAGGTCACTCTTGGAAAAACTTGAGATATTGCCGACGAGGGACTGGTCCATCCGAAGAGCCTCCTCCTAAAATCCTCCCAACTTCACAAGCAACCCATGATGCGATGGGTCCCTTCCATATACTTTCAATGTGAGTCGACATCTCAAGCAGACGGACCGCCCGACACATGACAAAAGGGACGCGGCGCTTGAGTGCCAGGTAACACAAGGACGGCATGAGGCCCAACTCGGCGGTGAAATTGAAGGTGGTTGAGCAGTGCTCTGATTTCTTGTCGACGATTATAATCTCAGCTACGACTTGTAAGATCCCTCGCAAGTTGAGACCAGGGTTGCAAAGTCATCCTGATGAATGTAGACTGTGGGCTCGCTTGGTGGCTTGAGAGACGTGGCGGCCATGATGGAGGCCATTGCGTGAGACACTATCAGCAGCAGGTAAGAAAATTCTTACTCAGAGCTGAGGCGCAAAATTAGACTCTGTGGTGAAGCTGGTCATCATTCATATATTGTTTGAGACCAGTTATGTACTCCAGGCTAAATATGTACCGTTCAGAAGAATACCCGTGACAAATAACAGACAACCCCACTACGCATACGTTCCGGGCACCAGCGAGTTGACGTAGTTCTCCAGGTTTGTCCAGCCGCCAGCTCCGATGGCAAAGGCGTCCTTGGCGTCATTGGGATTCAGCCCATTCGCCCTCTCCCACGCATCGGGAATACCGTCACCATCGGTATCCACAGGCGCCGTTCCACCGGCAACCTCTCCGACACCGCCAATCTCGGCCTCGTCGGAGATGAGCTTTCCCGACTTGCCGTAGCTGCGCAGCTCGCTAACAAGGAGCTTGTCGACGGCGTCACGGCGAAGTGACGCGCCGGCTCGGGCGGCGACGTGTTCGATAGACTCCTGTGGGGTGAGGAGCTTGGCGGGGCCAGGGTAGGGGAAGGGCGTCGGGGCGAAGACGAGGGGAGAGTAGCAGTTTGTGGTCATGCAGAGCGGAGTG